ATTGAATCGCCTGTGGCTGACGCTGCGTATGCGTAACGCGCGTATTATTGATTTGGATTGGTCATATAAAAACACGGAACGAAAAGGAAGAAGCAAATGAAGTAAAGCACAATCAATAGTGAAGTGCGACTTACAAAATACCAGACGTTATATTGTATAAATATGTATATACATATATAGTATGTTTATAAGCAAATCGACGAGGCGACAAGAAGCCGACGGCAAGTGCTTTTCCTTGGCTTCCGGTGAATGTCAATGCCACAAATTTGGGGCACAGGCACACGAGTCACACACAGAGACAGGGAGTGGGAGAGGGAGAGGCAGAGTGGGAGGGAGACAACAAGCGTAGACACTGTTTTTTTTTTTCTTGGGGCATTCCAATTGACGCCCACTGCTGACATTTGAACTCTGCGAATGCTGGACAATTGGCAGCGCCACCTGGCGGTCAAATAATTTATCATTGCCCAAAGCCTAATTAGCCAGCCTGTTGCAATTTTCCACCAAATTAAACAGAGCGCAAAGCGACTAAAACAAAGGGACAAACAAGAGGCTATATCTATATCTAATGGTGATGGACTAAGAGTTATCCTGCAAATAGAATAATGGAAATGGTAATTAGACTCGCATTTAGTCTTTGTTTAACTTTAATATTTAATGAGATCTGGAATGACTCACACAAAGGTGAATATGCTAAAGTAAAATAGTTAGAATATAATATGAAATATTGCTTATATATAAATAAATGACTATGATTTCGAGCACACTCACAAAGCCTATATACCCCTCTTCAATGTGCACAGGGTACAATAAGATTAGAACTAAAATAACATAAGGATACGTTCTACTTGTAGTTACATAGTTTTAATTAGAAACCAGAAATGAGCTTGTAGACAGCACTAATTGGGAATACAAATTATATATACATAAACGCACACACACACATACTCATACACAAATATCTACACATGTACATAACTGTACAAAGTGCCTAGTTTGGCACCCAAGTCAGTGCTTAAACCCGTTGACAGCAACAATATTGTATCATCTTTTTCAGATAAAGTCGAAGGCTTAAAATATGCAGAGGCAGCCAGGTAAAGCAAACAATCAACAGGTGACAGTTTGCTTTGCTCGTTGGCAATATTATGTAATACAGACACAAAGCTCTCTTCCTCTTTCCTTATCTCTCTCTCTCTCTCTCTCTCTCACACACTATATGTATACATTTCAGATTATATAAGTAGCTGAACAAATATGTGCTGAGCTATGTCTGCACGCAGCTGACACGGAGACTGTGCGAAGCCAGAAAGGAGTTGCTGAAGCCGCTGTCCTTCTGTCTGCAGCGTCTGACGCATCATAAATTTTTAGTGCTGGGCTAAAGGAGCACGTGTTGATTCGTCGAGGACATCTGAGTTGTTGGTCCATTAATTAAACTGTATCATTAAAAGTGTTAGTATGTACAGCTGTCTACATGTCTACATGTGCAGGTGTCGTTGTTGTGAACAGCTTAACAATATGCAATTCATAATGAAATTTAATTAAAGGCATTAAATTGGATCAAATGCTGATGATGTCTGATAAATGTTCGTAACACAGTGTCTTTGTTGTGTATAGGCAGAGGGCTTAAGTGACAGACCGAAAAGGATTTGCATGGCTTGAAAACAGTTGTTGTTGGAGATATGCACAGAATAGACAGTTAAATGAGCAAATTGACATAACAGATGGTAAATTAGCTACAAATAATTAAATTGAAATATGTTTAAATTAAACATAATATGAAAAAAGATAGTAAGCTAAATATAAAATAAAGAAAAATCAATTAAATAATTTTAAAAATAAATAAATAGATGGTATATATAACCAATGTGTG